AGAAGTTACCTCCCAACGGCACTTCCCAGAAACCTGGATAGGGGACCACACCGCTCGTAGCTACGCCGCTAAGCAGCTTTATGGGCAAAACGAACAATATGTAATACACGGCAAGCTCCTCAAAAACCTGCGAGACCCGGCAGAGCAGGCGCCAAAGCGCGCAACGTACATGCGCGCATGGCACTGACAAAAAAAGCCTTTACCCAGCACCCGCGTACGAAGGCCCTCAAAGGCTAGAAGCTGAAAAGAACCCCTCGAGGACCTAAGAACTTTATTTTCTATCTTTCTATGATCGGATCATATTGTATTTCATCTTATAAAGCACATAGAATGTGCACCATTTTATGCTGCATATACTACATATTTTGTACAATATGGTATGTATTTCAAGAAATATAAACGGGATGAAGCCTTCAGCCCGACACGGCCAGGTGGAGTTGGCGGACCTTTGAACCGCCGCCGGATCCCATGGTTTGGTCCACCAAGGTGGGCTCGCGGTGCCTGTTATTTTTTTATTTGTTTATTTATTTTGAGAGAGAGATGGAGATGCTCATCCCAGAATCCCGCGAATTCCGTGACAGCCCAAATTAGCCAGCTCTTCCGATCCAGTTTCAAGAGGTGTCGTTGGTAGGTAGGAGTTGAGCAAGATTTGTAATATGCCGATGCGCCTTCAACCGGGGTTGATTGTGTTTCATGCTGCTACAATCGACACTTCGTAGCAGCACAACGGCGCGTCAACGGGGCTTTCGTTGAATGTCAACAGCTGTCTTGTTGACCTGGCGGGTTGCGGCCCAGGTCCCCAGGTTGGCTTGGCTTTGGGTTGAACTGGGCCGGGGTGTAGCGGAGCAGGTGAGTGCCTCAACTTCCGGAGCAGGTGAAGGTGGACCAGGGCGAGGAGGGCGTCCTTGTAAGGGCGCGGCCTAAGACCGAGGACCTCCTCCCTTCGATCCAAGAGACGCCGGGCCGGAGATGAACTTTGCTTCTTTTTTGGGTGGGCTAACGGTTCTCAGAAGAGGGGTTGAGGGTTTGGTTATGTAGGGTTTTGAGGGGTTCAGGGTATTGAGCGCTGAAGGTTACTTCAGGCTTCGATTGAGGGGCGAACGAAGCCGGCTCAAACCCCACAACAGCTGACGAAACCCCGTGAAATCGTGCAAACCCCTCGGTAACCTGTCCAAGGGGTCGGGCGCCACTCCTGGGTATCTGCCCCATGGTCAGCTAAGCCTCGCGAGCGTGAGCAAACGCCCCGGCGGGATCCAAGAAGGGTTTTGTGCCAGAATTTGCCGGACCATGGGGTTAAAGTCCGGTGATGGGGTTAGGGTTATAGGCCAGGGCCAAGACAAATCACGGTAGAGTGACCACTACTAAGAAAGCTGCATTACTTGCGACTATCAAAAGAGTTGGAGTAGCATTTCTTGAAGCAGTGCTACTAATATGTTACAAAGGCTATAGGTTATGAATGCGATTAGTATCGAGTTCATCTCCAGGTCTTGGCAGCAGGCAAGACTATCTTAGTATTGTCTTCGTCGATGCCCTCATGGTGATTCGGATCCCTACACCCTCAACCCTCAGTCTAAACGACTTGTGATTCTAGTGGCCATGATTGGATCCCGGCCATACTACATCTCGAGCGGGCCGGACGCTGCTCCAGCCTGGGTTTGAAAACCCGAGGGAGTGGAACCGTCCCTGGTCTCAAGGACATTAAGGTTTGAGGCTGTGTGGTTCCCTGTAGTACTCTGGGGGCTTTGCGGTCTTTGTGTTGGTAGTAGCTCAACGCCACTGCCCTGGTAGAGGCTTGAAAGTGATGCCACGGCGGCACTGCCGTCTGTGTGCTGAGGGCAAGCTTCGAGACAGGGCCAGTTGTGCACCGAAAGAGTCGTGGTCTCAGTCTTAGGCTTCCGACTGCTTTAGGAATGAGAGCGCTGTCAACAGGAAGGGCTTTGCGATTCGGGATTTCCCCGGAAGCCCAGTGGAGCACAGCCAAGATGATCGGTTTTCCCAATCTCCACGTCGCATCGTCGCGGAGAAATCGCACAGTGCCAGGTTTGGGGCTGACCATTTGCCAAGAGCCAGGGGTCACCAAAGACCCTCGGGCAAACGCAAGTAAAGCTCATCTCCCCACCTAGATTGGTGCAACGACTTCGGATTGATCTTTTCTTGTCCCCAGCGTTGCTTCGTGCTTTTTCCGGCTCTCTCTAGGTTTGAGAGGGCACTTAGGTTTTTGAGCTTGTCCCTGGCTTGGCTTTGACTTCTTGTTGTTTGACCTGTTGGGATATCTGGCCAAAAGTCATAGGATTGGACTTTGCACATTGCTGCGATTGCTGCAAACTTCCGTTGATGCATAGCTGTCAAGGGAATACGACCGGCGCATGAACTCTTTGGATTTACATTCGAGGAGCGAGGGCAGCTGGATTTCACGGTTTGTTGTATACACGCCTCTCCGTAAGATTCCATCTCGATTGGCCTGTCAAGAACATGCTTGTCGTGCCTGGCATATGCAGACAGTGAACCGAAGCTGTGAGGCTCTAGTGGTTGTTTGCGAAGCACTCGTCCGTCCCTCCTGAAGTCATGAAGGGAGTCCTCGCATTCGTCCTTGCCGCTTGGACTGCGGAAGCTGTCCGTGACCGCCTGTCTTCTGTTGAGGAGCAGGTCACCAAAGAACTCAGCGAGGCCAATCTGACGGGTGGCCAGCCAGGTGGTCGCTTGGGTACGGTGGCTTTGAAAACCGTCCAGCAAGGTTTGAAACGAGTTCGGCTGGGACAAGCTGCGAAAGGAGCTAAAGGGTTCCAATTCAAGGCGCCTGGTGGCTTGGCGCATGGATTCCACCCCCCTAACTATGGTTTCAATGGACTCGGCCGCGGCGGCGTCGGTCTTTCCAGGGGGTTTGGAGGTCAATTGGGGCGGATGCCAGCACCGGACAGCAGATCACAAAAGGTGTGAGGATGATTGGAATGCAGAATTTGGAGGGGGGCCAATACACGGAACTGATGGGCAGACTGAGTCTTGTTCGTGCTAGACTGAGTCTTGTTCGTGCTGTGCACCTTTCGATAGTTTTCCAACATTGTTTCATTTTGCTTGGAGTTGAAGCGGACGGGAGCCCGAACCCATCGCTAAGGATCGTGGAAGCCGTAGAGTCAGCGGCACACCTGCCCTCTGGTGAAGAGATTGCCAAGTCTATCCGCAAAGCTGGATGGAGAATTTGGTATGGGGCCCTTCACAATGACATCACAGTTCTGGTTTCCAAAGCCGAAGTGGGTATTGGAAGAGCAGCCAAAGACTTTGTAGGACGTTTCAGGATTCAGCAGGGAGGAAAGGATTTGTACGTGACCCTTCTCAAGAGGGCTGAGCATGCACCGCCTTTCTTGAAGAATGTCAACTTCGGGATTGGTAACTCAGACAAAGTGCTGCTGCAGACCTTCGGTCAGGGCTTGCGTTTCGTTCGGAACATCTTTCAAAAGCAGAGCTTGCAGTTCATGAGACACTTGGCTATGCCACCCAAGCGATTTGACATGTCGCTTGTGTCCTTTCCGAGGGTCGGCTTTTGAAAGAAGCTTCCGGCCCAAGTCCCAAGGACAGCAGATCGGGGAAGTGGCGAAAGCCGGCCTGTCGGAGAGTGTCATGGCCCAGAAGTTGGAGCAGGCCTTGGTGAAGAACTGGGGCCGAGGCTGGAATGTTGTGGTCTCGAAGACGGAGATGGAGGTCGCAACCAGCATCGCCGACATCGTGGCTAAATTCAAGGCCTGGGCTCTGATTTCACAGTTGTGTTTAAAAACCCGAGGATGTTTGTCTCCTCTCTTAAAATGTGTCTTGACACGAAGGTGAACGACATCTTCTTCACCATCGTGCGCCAAATGGTCTGAACCGACCCCGCACCCGGCAAAACAGTGCAGGGGTTAGTCGATCGCAGGTGGTCTGCTGCGACATTGATGAACTGCACGAGCTGACATACTGAGTGCACATGGAACTTTTGTGAATTATTTTCTGGGTGTGGCATCATGGAGCCAGCATCCAAAAGCTCTCCCAAAGCTCTATTCTATCATGTTCCATACTGCTAAGGGCTGTGCAGAGCTTGTGACCTTCGAACTAACGTGCATGTCTGAAAAGTTGCATCAGTGTTAGCGCTATAGTCTATAGTAACATAGTACAATATTGTTGCCATCGTTGCATCAAAAATCTGTTGCTGCAATCCGTAGTGGTCCACTCCACAACACCGTCTTGCACGTGCGCAGGTAGTGTGCATACTCACACATTTAGTGAAATTTAGTGACATAGAAGTGTCATCGTCGTCTCTTGCAGCCTCCCAGCGTGGAGCAAGAAAGTGGTCCTCACGGCGGGAGCAGGACCAACTCTTTGCGCTGGTGGGCAACGTAGGAGCTCTATCTGGCGATGTAAGATATTTTTGAAGGAGATGATCCAGCCTTGGGCCGTGCCCCTCCTGTACTATCCTGTACTACAGGGGTCTGAAAAAATCACGCAACATTCCCTAAGATTCCTCACTATGGTTCTGGCACGGCTTTTCTGACCTTGGCGGTCCAGTGTGTGACTTGAAACTGCCTCCGAGTCTGTGTGGCTCAAAGACAGCCACTGCGCAGCTCTGCTCTCATCATGGGCAGTGGCGGAAGTGTCGAGACTGCACCAGTTCCACCGGTGATGCGGAAGATGCAGAAGCTGCCGGCAAGCCGCAAAGTAGAGAAGGCCGAGAAGAAAGGATTGCCGAAGAGACGCTCAGATCTGGTGGTCGAGGCGATGCCGAGCATGCAGAAGCCGCAGTCAAGCCGGAAAGTAGACGAGGCCGAAAGCAAGCGATTGCCGGAGGCGAGCTCAGATCCGCCGGTTGAGGCCACACCGAAGATCCAGAAGCCGCAAGCAAGCCAAGAGGGAAGGAAGGCCGATGTGGGGCGATTGCTGCAGCGACGCTCATCTCCGCCTGTGGAGACGCTGAAGCTACAGACGCCCAAGGTAGGCTTGGAGAAAGATGAGACCGAGATGAAGCGATTGGAGATCAAACGGTTGGCCGAGAGACGCTCGAATCCCTGGGAGACGATACCGAAGACACAGAAGCCGCAAGGAACCCGAAATCTGGAGACGGCCAAAAGCAGGGGACTGCCAGAGAGATGGTCGGTACCCCCAGTTGAGACCATAGCGATGATGCAGAAGCCACAGAGGCCGCAGGCAGTCAGCCAGGGCGAGAAGGCTGATATCAAGCGCTTGCTGGAGGGAGGCAGAGGCTCATCCCAGCAGGGGGAGAGGATCGAGAGGATGCAGAAGCCACAGGCAAGCTCCGAGAGAGAGACATACGAGACGAGGCCTTTACGAGAGAGGTGGTCAGAGATGGTCACTTCACCAATTGACACCATGCCGGACATGTCCATGCCAGATATGCCGATGCCGCCGGCAACCTTCGTCAGAGAGAGGGCTGAGATAAGGCAATTGCGGGCAGAACGTCTGCGGGAAGAACGTGATCTCAACGTGAAGCGAAGCCGCAAGCTGAGTTGTTCGACATTCGCCCAACTATCGTAAGCCGCCGTATCAGTTTCTAGATTCTAGACCCGTCTGTTCATCGGAACTAAGCAAGACTTCACCTTGAATGCGCAAAGTAGCTGCATCCGCGCATTGTTGGAGGTGCACTAGCTGCGTCACTAGCTGGCTGCACATATTCAAGGTGATGGCCTCTCCATGTTTTGCAGTGGCAACTAGTCAGCTAGGTGCCCAACAGGCAGCCACAAATCAGAAGCCTTGAAGCTCTGCTTTCTCAACCCCAAACCCTCACTAAACCCTACACCCCACAGGTTGGGTGGTGAGCTTCAGACTCGAAGCCTAGAGCACGAATGCCTCTTCCTAGCTGTGGATCGACAAGAGTGGCTCAACTCAGGCTTCAACCTGCGCGCGGTGCGCTGCAACTGCGGTTGCTGAACTCGACAGAAGCGGCATTTCCTGAAGAAGTTGGCTGGCAAGTGATGGGTAGGCTTTAGGGTCCAAGGGTTTAGGGCTGAAGGTTGGGGGAGACAGCAGGTGTGCTTTTCAACAGGCCAGTGCATGTGCGATCTTAGATTGCTAGCAAGCTTTTCGCTGGGCAACGACCAGTGAAGCAACATTCGTTTCCCGAGCCGAGCTCACTCGTCTTGAATCGTCCCATACAAATACAAGACTAGATGTGCGCATTGCAAGAAAAAACAGCACTAGCAGTTGCAGTAGGCGTTGTAGGAAGCCTTGTCGGGTGATGGTCGGACTTGACCACACATGACCAGTCATGCAGCTTGGTTGGCTCGGAAGCCGTGGTTGCCCCAAGGGCAACACACTTACCCACGAGCAGCAGATATGAGGGGTGAAAAAGTCTGCGGTACTTCGCTTGCTAGTGTTTTTCAAATTTCAGCCAGCCACAAGCAGCAAAGACCCTGAACCCCAAACCCTGAATCGAAAAGGAGACCATTGAGTCGAGGAGCTACCTGTCGGTGGATCGGTCTTGTCCTGTCTGGACAAAACATCTCCTCCACAATTCACGGCATTCAAAATCACAATCCCTGGCCTCTATCATTTATTTTGTATTTTGTATTACGTATTCTGATATATATATATATATATATATACATGCATCGTTATATATGTATATATATATATATATGTATATGTATATATATATATATAGAGTTGTATACATACATACATACATACATACATACATACATACATACATACATACATGTAGATATATATATATATATACACATATATATAGACATAAATATCTGCATGGCTGTATTAAGAAATTTCGGCGCCTGAAGCTAATGGAGGGTTTACAGTATCAATGGGATGACGCCGGTGTGTTTGTGTGGGCTCATTATGGGTCGAACAATTCGATTCTTTTGAAAGCTGCAGCTGCATATGCCTCTCTTGACCATATCTACACAGTGGGCCTATAGTATAAAGGATGTTCAGGAGCTGCGTTGACATCGTCGTGTGCATTCTAGATTTGCGCAAACGCCTCTGTGGCAGGGCGCTGGCATGCCCTCGCTGTTCCAGTGCTGGCAATGGGTGGACAACCGGACTTCTTACTTGCGCTAGCCGTGTGCGAAAGCAGAATCATGCTTGTGCAGTGCCGAAGTTCGGGATATTACGAACGCAAGAACCGGGGTTCAGGATTGCATGCCTTCGCAGTGGTTAGTCTGAGGCATATTGTGAGAAGATCCGTCCAAGAAGGATGAAGCTTCGAAAAGATCGCTTATTCTCCGTCGCCGTTTCCAAGCCAGCAGAAACTGCATCAGAAAGTTGGTATGAGAGAACACGTTGTTGGAAACTTGAGTTTGCATCACTACACACAGACTCGAAGGCTCTTGAAGTCCCAGGGATCTTCTGCAGCACAAGGCATAATCTGCGGTGTACCCGCGCTCATGAGCCAGGCTTAGCAGACTCATCAGCAGGTCTGGGAACACTTAATTTGACCCTTGAAATGCGCCCCGCTGAGGCTTAGGGTTCGGGCTTTAGGTTCAAAGTAGCTTGCCTTCGCCCCCTTTGAATTCCTCGCGCTGGGATGGCATCCAAGCAGGCCAGCACGAAGAGCGATTTCCTGGATCCTGATTTCTGAGTTTCTACTCCCTAAGCCCCAGGTCCTATACCAGACCTTCGACTTAGTACCCCAAGAAGCATTTGCTTTTTTATTTTCCAAGTTTCCAGACCTTTCCAGCTAAACCGAGGTTCCGGCTTCAAGATCTGAGCTGGTGAGATACACATAGCTCCAGCTTCAGCAAGTCCAATTTCTCCATCGCCTGGAAAGGGCACCTCACCGTCCCCAAAGAATCCCGCAACCTTGAAAGGAAGGAGCCCATAGAACCCAAACCCCTGAACCCACAGTCGGAATTAAGGTCCTTGAACGAACATACATAGACATCATGCTCATCATCATCATCACCATCATCACCATCATCATCATCTTCACCATTCTCCTCACCATCATCTTCACCATTCTCCTCACCATCACCATCATCATCATCGTCATCATCAGGATCATGGTTGCTGTCGACATCTGACGAAGTGGCACTCAAACAAATCCAGTGCAAAAAGCGGCGATGAAACGGCTAGCAGGCCATCTCGCGCTTGAGGAAGGAGATCAAGGCACCGGACCTGTTCAATAATAAGAGTCACAACAACTAATAGCAATACTAACTATCTTCGTGATCAAAAACATAAGCAGAGTCGTAGCCATAATACTAATCACAACAATAAATGTGAAAGGCTGCGGCTCATCCTGTTCCGGTTGTAGGAGCCAGTTTAGCATTTGGGAAACAGGCTGTGAGATCCACGCGAATCTGGCCATATGCTTTTCGTCACTTTTCGTATCCGGAGAAGGGTTGAGGGGGAGTGTGGGGGGAGTACCATACCATACTTTTCTGTACTATGTTGAACCATACTCTCCCATATTCGTGAGACTTCATGTATAAGTGTGATGCAGTATAACCCGTAGCCGTAGCCACCGGAAGCCCATGGCTCCCGCGGGCCTGGGCCTCTGAGGCCATCGGCGAAGACCCGCCTCCCCACATCCACGTGTCGGTGGACGAGGTCTCCAGAGCAGATACCAACAAGAAAGGGATCCTTTCAGGGCACTTTTTGGGGGTACTATCAAGGGTGATATAGTGGTATTGAAAGGGTAACCCCAACAGTCTGAGTCGGGTCTATAGGGATTTCACAGACTTTCGAGCTTTCGGGCTTCGGATTCTACGGGCTGGCATTTGGGCTTGAATTTGTGCCTTTGGGGGTGTCCGGGTTTAGGCTTCAAGGTTTCGACGTTCGCAGGCCGTTTTCAGCCCGGATCATAACCCCCAAATTGAGAAGACCCAAGAAATTAAACTCCATGGAAGCGAAACCGAAACTCATTGTCGCAGTCGAACATCCTGGAGTGGAACTATGTCCTCGAAGGGCCCACGGTCCGGGAGCTTACATACACTCTTGGAGTGACTGCTACGAGGTTGAGTATGTTATTATGGTTGGAGCTCATCCTATCACGCGTCTTGCATCTATCATGCTACCTGTACGCATTGCCATGCCCATGGCTGGTCTGACCGCGGCATAAGGTAAACTTGTCTGTTCATTCTGCTTAATCGCCCGCGATGATGCTTATTGTTACTGTGACGATGATGATAATGCTGACGATGCGGACGGTGCTCATCATGATGCTGCTGGTGATGTCGTTGTTATGTGTATGACATGACGATGAAGCATTGATGATGACAGTAATGCTCAGGGCGAGCTGCCGCTGCTGCTGCTGCTGCTGCTGCCGCTGTTGCTTCTTATGATGCTCACCACGACTTTGCAAGCATTGCTATAGTGGGCGACCTGATGCCTTGCATCCCTTGGTCCGGCAAGCTTTGAGCTGAGGAGACGCCCTATGAAGGAGGGTGGTGCTGAGCTAAGATGTGACTGTTCTCCTCGGTGCATCGTTGCAGTGGCCTTTCGAGGGCCACGGAGCTTCAGCCGAAACCGTCAGATTCTGTTGCCAGTTGCTGGCAGCCCAACCAAAAGTGCATGAGGAACGAAACTGAGGGCGACACCTGGGAAGCAACCCGTTGAACTTGGCTTCCGCCCGCTCTTTGGTGAAGAAGAGCCTTGTCTTGAGGTTTTGGGGTCGCCTCAGATTTCCGAAGGACCGTGCTGCTGATGTCATCTGCACGCAGCATGCGGCATTCTCCAGAAGAAGTCTCTTTGCTTTCGTTTCGCACCTTCATGAGTTCCTCTGTTTTGCTACCCAGCCGCGGAGGACTATCCATTCCGACCCCCTTCTATCCTCATGGTTCCGGCCCCAGCTTCTCGTGCTCAGTCCGAGCATGAAGAGACCCCTTGTTGGCATGGACTCCACCTCCTAAATCCGGAATGTACCGGAATGGGGTAGGTCCCGGCTGTGTGGCTTACTAGATTATATTTGGATACACGTATATACATATATATATAT